AAAGATTATCTAGATAAAAAATCACTTGAATCCGATATCATTTATCTACTCAATTAAATTATTGAAATTTTAGTACTTTCTTGAAGCACCATGTTCATTGATTTTGTAGGACACAATTAGATGTCTAAACGGTTTCCAATTTGTCTAATTTTTTGCAAGGATGATCTATGAATGAAGACCTAAAAATTAGATGGTTTGAATCGTAGAAAAAAGTTTCGTAGAATACTGTCACGTACTGTCACGCCCCGGACCCGGGGGTAGGTGGAAATCCCGCGCCCGGTGCGTGAGAAAATAAATAAAATAAAATAAAATGAAAAGAAAGCCGAAATAGGGTTTGAAATGAACTTCTCTTATAAAAATAGATCCAAAATCTTACAACTTTACAATAAATAAAGCTCTAACACTCTCATCTAATGCAGCCTCAACTGGTTTATTCCTTTTCTTGCCCACTAATTCATCTGAAAATTTAAACAGGTTGAGGGATGAGCAACCACAGCTCAGTAGGGACATGAGACCTTACCACAGTAGATTGATATAACTAAATTAAGTGACAAGCAATCACACAGCCATATATCACATTAATAATAATAATATATAATAATAATGCATGAATGCTCTTCAATTCTAATCCCGTTAATTCATATAATTGGACAAGCAGACCTGCACGTCCCATACCATGCTTATACCACTTGGTCCCGAATGCCCATTTATATGAACTAACACCCATTTCAATCATCCCATAATTCCCCTTTTGTTAGTCATCTTGTCTAACTCCCTTTCGCCAGTCCCGAATCACCCAATAAAAATAATGTGCACTGTGGGATCCTTGAGACATGGTACCTGCCAAGAGTTAGACTCAACTACACATAAGATCCTTATACATTACCCTCTTTTCCATTATTATCTTCTCCATCCAACAACTCCAACCAATTACCATGATATGATATAATTATGCCAACATTATTCAAATAGTTCACAATACGTAAATATAGTATATCAAGAACATTATACAATATCCCGCATAATATAGAGCTCACGAAATTTAATTAGATCAATCCCTGTAAAGGCTCCCAAGAAATCCCTACCTTGTCACCAAAGCTTTTGCTAGAACTGTTAGGTATTTCCACCGTATTCACAAACTCAGTCTTCTATTTTCTTCCAAGACTTCTTCTACTCTCTACCTCTCTTACTATCTTTCCTTCTTTCTATTTACTTTTCTTTCCGTTTCTTTCTCTCTTTGCATTTATTTCTATGCAAGTTCTGTAGAAGGTTTCCTATTTAAACAACAAGATAGGCGGTTGGCTGGCAACAAACTTGTTATCCAAGTTTTGGATAACTACATCAAACCAATGACGGCAAGAAAAGAATACAAAATATCTTTCCTATTCTAATATTTATGATGGCCACTTGTAAGTCAATTACTATATTTGCATGTGCTAAAGCCACCTCTTACTTCTAATATTATAATTTAAACATTTAATTAATACATATATATAATATAATAATATATGGAATAAGATATAAATATTTATTAGTACAAAAGACTATATATATATATATATATAATTACCTATGTTATCACTTTAAATATATAACTAAATATGCAGCAAAATATTTATTCTTCATATAAATATATATTTTTAAAAATAGGTCTTCACAAATACCCTGAAGAGTGTCCCTCAAATAAAATTATTTTGCCTATATATACTTAACCATTGATGAGGTTAAACGGCATTATTTATTTTGCGGTAGTCCAAGGAAAAGATAAAGAAGATGATGCCGACCATGAGGATACGTACTGGAACTTAGGCGATCATAGAAAATAAAATGCTTATTTCGGAAAGACAATCTTTTAGTTTATTTCTTATTACTTAGAATGTAAATAAAATTCATATCTAGCTAGATCTATCTCTTGCATGCATAAATTATTATAACCTAATATTCTATCTCTCGTCTCTCGCATTGATTATAAGTTAAAGGTAACAATTTGATCCCAAAACACGAGCTGCCGGTTCAGCGCTGAGGCCGCGGCCGTGGCCGTCCCTTATAATCCGTTGGATGTGATGAGCCTTGAATAGATGGTGAGGAGTCGGACGCTACATAGTCAGGATCATCTTTAGTTTCTTCATCAGAAGCTGATGTTGGTGGTGTAGCTGGTGCAGCCCTCTTAGAAACGGCACTACGTCTCATCACGGAAAAGGGGAATCTACTTCCCCACCCTGCCACCGCCGCCGCAGGGGAGGGCTGACGTGGAGGGCGGCAGAGGTGGTGCATCTTTGATTTCATTGATCGGGGGCTTCCTCCTACTAGCTTTCGTTCTCGCCTTTCTGAGGATGGCCGCAGGTGTTGGCTGTGCTGCCGAAGCCGAAGCTGTGGCGGTGGCCGCCTTCAATGGTACTTCTAACTCTAACAGCTGGATGCGTGGGTTGGATTCAAACCCTTCAATGCTCTCAAGTGTACGCAAATTATCATTAAGATATTCGCCGTTGGAGAATAGGGCTTGCTTCCTTTCACTTATCCGTAGCAAAAATTCAATATGCATCTTTATAAATCCCACATTACAAAACTCGTTTGCTTCAATAACTAGTTCGTCATTATGCCGCACCACAATCAACTTGTAGGAACACCTGAAAATAAAATGATCAATAAAACCTCAAAATAAGGATTTGATTTTTTTAATAAACAATTAAGAAGAACTGTTTGAGAAAAAAAGAAGAACTGTTTGAGAATGGGTAATTAAGTCGCATAATATGCGGGTCTTGCTTTGGATTTTCACAAGCTTGCAATTCAGGGAGTAACATATTATTGTAACAACAAAAGAAAAAGTAGGATACATACCGCAAGCTCTCCCCCCCCCTCGCTTTGTATGCCTTCCTTGGCTTCTGCTCTCGGAAGTTGATTCTCCTCCTCGCGAACTGCGTTACCGACGTCGTTGGCTGCTAGTTGATTCTCCTCCTCGCGAACTGCGTTACCGACGTCATTGGCTGCTCATCCTCCCCCTCGTCAACTACGTTCCCGCCATTGGCTGCTACTCCCTCCTGGGGTTGATTCTCCTCGCCAAACTTGTAACAATTTCCTGAATTATCCACGTAGTATGGGGAAATATTGGATAAGGCTGCTGCGTCAAAATCCACTGACTCTCCCCCTTGTTCATCCATTTGATAATTATCAAGTTCACTAGCCCAATCATCCGTCCACTCGCTTAGTACTAACCCGACTTCATTGGCTGCTAGTTGATCCTCCTCCAAGCCAACTGCGTTACCGTCATTGTCTGCTACTCCCTGAAGTTGATCATCCTCCTCGCAAACTGCGTTACGGACGTCATTGGCTGCTAGTTGATCCTCCTCCATGCCAACTGCGTTACCGTCATTGTCTGCTACTCCCTGAAGTTGATGTTCCTCCAATTCAACGTGGTCTGGCCACGGAATTCCTGGAAGGTCTTCCGCTCGCTCTATGACTTCCATCACTCCAGCCACATCAGGTAAATGACTAGCCCAATGTCCAATCGTAGCATCATCAAATTCGGGGAGGGGTAAAGGTGATGGTGGTGCTCCTCCTTGTTCATCCATTACCGTAAGTAAAATCACAAACTGCGAAGAAAGAACGGAAATAGAAGCAGCAAGAACCGAAGCAAGGAGATCGACAAGCTTGCACTATCTTAAACAAGGAAAAAGATGATCGAGAAGCTTGATTGTTGTGCATGCACTATCTTAAACCTGGAACACAATGAGATAGAGAGGGCTGTATATATAATAGCGATCTGTGATCAACCACCATTCCTTATTTGTTTTGGGATAATAGCTCCTGACTTAGCCTTTTTTATATCCCAGTTTGTTTTGGGATAGTAGGTCCTGACTTGCCCTTTTTGATATCCCATTTTGTTTTGGGATAGTAGGTCCTGACTTGCCCTTTTTGATATCCCATTTTGTTTTGGGACAGTAGGTCCTGCCTTGCCCTTTTCGATATCCAGGGGATAGTATAGCTCCTCCTCACTTGCCCTTTTGAATATCCAGTTTGGTTTGGGATAGTAGGTCCTCCTGACTTTGGAGTAAATATCAAACTATCCCAAATAAGTCTCTTCAATGGTTGTGCACGTACCAAAATAAGATTTGCCAACAGCGATGGTGTTCATATAAGCCCGCATTTGCGCTAATAGTTTGTTTTGGGCTGTTTTTGAGAGAGAGAGAGAGAGAGAGAGAGAGAGAGCTTTTCTATTTGAAATTTTGAACCCAGCATTGGTCTTTTCAGTGTTCCAAAATTGCCCATATTTGATATATCCACACCAAATCCAACCCTTCAAATTGGAACCCATGAAAACCTAACCCAGTCACCGCCCCGCCACGCCGTACTGCCACTGCAGCATGGGATGATATGTTTTCCTTGCTTAATTTTAATCCACATGAGAGCAAAATTCTTTTTTCTTTTTTCTTTCTGATCTTGGGCAATATATCTGGACATTATTTGAACGCAAAAACCTAACCACATGTATAGCCTTGACATTGGGCAATATATCTGGATTTTTATTATCCTTTTTCTTTTTATTATAAATAAATCTTTCCCATTGACCTCTTTGGGGAGCTGCACTGCATCAAAGCATTTTGCATTGGAGTCAAATAAACTTGGGAATTATACTCTCAATCTCAACGCAAAAGCCATGTAGCGGCAGTATTATCAAAGCAAATCCAACGTGGAATTACCGTAATGTTATATTTAAATAAAAAAACATATTTCTCCCGACATCTCTCGCTGCACTATGCTGCATTAATTAAAAATAAATAAAATAAATAAAGAAAGGCCGTCATTAATACAAACAAGAGACGACACCACAAATAAAACTGACTTGTCCTCCTTTCATTTATGTTAGTCTTTTTTCCTTAAATATTTCAGGCTAGATGGAATAAGAGAGAAAGGCAAAAGCTGGTTGAGCACTTTAATGATCGGATGCACTAAAGTTAAAAAGGGTGAACTGCACTGCACTCTGATCAGATGATATTGCTTAGTGAAGGATTAAACACGTCATTACATTGGAGTACAACAAATTAAGCATCTCAAAAAGTAGATGATAAATTTCTCAGAAGCAGAATCCATTCATCAATTCCTAGTTATTTAGTTATAGAATTGATCATCTTGTAGTGTAGTGTAAACTCATGGATTAAACGACCACAACTGGAGCAGCAGAACCCAACATTCATTTTCGAGATTGTTCATCATAGCCTCAACGCCTCAACACCTTTAATCGCTTGAATGTAATTTGCAAGCCTCCTTACACGAGGTGCCGGAGGAATATTATGAACAATGCAGTCTTCCACAATCTTCCTGACTAGCTTCATTCCTCGAATTGGACCCATAACGGCAACCAAGTGATCCTATTCATTTACACGCAAAATAAAAATCATTAAAAGTCATAACTCTCTTCTCACTCTACCTCAGCATGTGGGAAGACTAGATAAAATAAATTTCCAAACACAACCATCAAAAGTATGAAGAAGAAAAAAACACACTAACCTTTGGGCAGAGATAAATGTTACAGCATGTCATTTTTTCAAGTTCCTGCATCCCAATTACATTGTAAAAAGAAAAGAACAAATACAGAAACAACAAGCAAAGAAATATAAACGGGATCTAGAATGCTTTTATGCACCTGTACCGGGAGACTCATGAGCAGTTTCTTCCTAGATTCATACTTATCCTGCACACACACATTACAAGATATTAAAGAACAACATAAAACTGAGCTTTTGCATATGTCCAGCATAACGAAGAGCTGTTGAGTCATAATTTTTATAGGATAGAGAGCAGAACACCAGAAAGTCCATATTCCTCATATTATTGTCACATTAGTTCTTTTATCACTACACCCTAACCAATTGTAAACCTTTCTAAGGTCAAACAACAACTCTAAATGCCATGTTATAGCTACATAACCAATTGTACTATATCTGCAATTTACAGATGCTGATTCATAACTACATAAGAATGCTTATAAGAACATAAAAGATTGTACGAAATAAAACATGGAAGGAAACTGAAGAAATACCTACCGGCTTGATACCAAATTTTTTGCAAAGCCCGTTGAAAATATACCCAGTGTAGACGAGGTAGCATGGCAATCCATTCATTACTTTTACTGCCTGGATCAAAATGTTGAACACTCAAATCAGAAGCTTAATAAATAGAAGATTTTTTTTTTTCCTTAAACAATGCAATGAGAACAGAAATCCTTGGAGGATTCAAGCAATAACGAAAGCCAACATGAGTTTTTACAATTAAAGTTAGATAAATTGAACATAAGCTTTTCATTGAGATGTAAATATTCTAACATAAAATAACATATATAAGCAATTAGCATTCAGCGTCCAAATATGATTGGCATGCCTTAGCAAATCAATTGAACTTGAAGAATAGATTTGAATGCTTAGTGAAGGATTAAACACGTCATTACATTGGAATACAACAAATTAAGCATCTCAAAAAGTAGATGATAAATTTCTCAGATGCAAAATCCATTCATCAATTCCTAGTTATTTAGTTATAGAATTGATCATCTTGTAGTGTAGTGTAAAATCATGGATTAAACGACCACAACTGGAGCAGCGGAACCCAACATTCATTTTCGAGATTGGTCATCATAACCTCAACGCCTCAACACCTTTAATCGCTTGAATGTAATTTGCAAGCCTCCTTACACGAGGTGCCGGAGGAATATTATGAACAATGCAGTCTTCCACAATCTTCCTGACTAGCTTCATTCCTCGAATTGGACCCATAACGGCAACCATGTCATCCTATTCATTTACAAGCAAATAAAAATCATTAAAAGTCATAACTCTCTTCTCACTCCACCTGGACATGTGGGGAGACCAGATAAAATAAATTTCCAAACACAACCATCAAAAGTATGAAGAAGAAAAAAACACACTAACCTTTGGGCAGAGATAAATGTTACAGCATGTCATTTTTTCAAGTTCCTGCATCCCAATTACATTGTAAAAAGAAAAGAACAAATACAGAAACAACAAGCAAAGAAATATAAACGGGATCTAGAATGCTTTTATGCACCTGTACCGGGAGACTCATGAGCAGTTTCTTCCTAGATTCATACTTATCCTGCACACACACATTACAAGATATTAAAGAACAACATAAAACTGAGCTTTTGCATATGTCCAGCATAACGAAGAGCTGTTGAGTCATAATTTTTATAGGATAGAGAGCAGAACACCAGAAAGTCCATATTCCTCATATTATTGTCACATTAGTTCTTTTATCACTACACCCTAACCAATTGTAAACCTTTCTAAGGTCAAACAACAACTCTAAATGCCATGTTATAGCTACATAACCAATTGTACTATATCTGCAATTTACAGATGCTGATTCATAACTACATAAGAATGCTTATAAGAACATAAAAGATTGTACGAAATAAAACATGGAAGGAAACTGAAGAAATACCTACCGGCTTGATACCAAATTTTTTGCAAAGCCCGTTGAAAATATACCCAGTGTAGACGAGGTAGCATGGCAATCCATTCATTACTTTTACTGCCTGGATCAAAATGTTGAACACTCAAATCAGAAGCTTAATAAATAGAAGATTTTTTTTTTTCCTTAAACAATGCAATGAGAACAGAAATCCTTGGAGGATTCAAGCAATAACGAAAGCCAACATGAGTTTTTACAATTAAAGTTAGATAAATTGAACATAAGCTTTTCATTGAGATGTAAATATTCTAACATAAAATAACATATATAAGCAATTAGCATTCAGCGTCCAAATATGATTGGCATGCCTTAGCAAATCAATTGAACTTGAAGAATAGATTTGAAATTTGTACCCGAAGTGGAGGAACTCCTGCTGACAAAAGTCGAATAAGATATCTAGAGTCGAGAATAGCATATGAGTCCTTAGCCTTGGTTGTCGTGAATGTGATGAAATACTCATCCTAACCATGGTTATAAAAAAAACTTAATATGTGCATAACTAAAAATACTCAATATGAGCACAAATTTAAAAGCAACATTTATTATAACATACCAAATCCAATGCACATGAAATGCCATACTCTTCTAAAGCAGATTTTAGCACCGGCCAAGCTTCTTGTAAATCTTTTGCTGTGAAAAGACAACGCCAAGACTCATAGGTAAGAAAGCTTTGTTCTTTTACATAATTATCATAGTAATAATCATATTTTAGAAATCTCACGGATGGAATAAATTAATTATGATGGAAAATTAAACAGAAAATAGGACACAAAGTTGAAGTAGTTTAATTTCATACATAACAGCCTTGACAATTTGAAATAGTCTAATCCCTTTTATTTCAATTTCAGAGTCGGTTGTTTTAAAGTGATCAATGATTTCTTCTACTTATTTGGCTCTCCTAGAGTCTTCTATCTTGCTCACAGCCAACCCCCCACCCCAATTAGCGGCGGCTGCTTCTTCTTCTCTGCGGCCTCACTCTGGATTTTTTTATATAAAAAAGAAAAAAAAATATCTTGGTTTTTGTCTGATCTAGGGTTGTAAATCAGCATAATTATTAACTTAGAATTTAATCAGGGTTTTAGATTTACTTTCATTTAGCGATTAAAACTAGGCTACGAATTTCATCCATCAATCTCATAATCATTACTGGAACAAAATAAGAAACGAAATTTTATTTGCAGTGAATTGATGAGAAGGGCAACAAAAAGGAAGAATAAGAATAAGATAGAAAGATACTCGTGCGTAGGTGCATACGGAGAACGCTCAAATCATATGGGTCATCAGACCTGGCGACCTTTCATGTTGTGGGCGATTATCTCCTCCATGTTGACCTTGTTTGTCATCGTAGCCAATTGTTTGGATACTTGTTCAATCCCTAGCCTACGCAAAGACAGAGAGAATGTTTGGGTAGTAGTTGAAAGCCTAGGCACTGACAGGGCAGAGAGAAAGAGAATGTTACCCTAGGCACAGACACAGAGAAAGAGAATGAGTTTTTGTTAACGCCGTGAAAACTAATAACGTTTTTTTTGGTGGGGTATTTATACGAGGGAGACGTGTCTTTCATATTTATATGGGAAAGGCTGAATGCGAGAGAAAATTATTTGCTGGGGAAGTCCACATAGGCCAATGGGTTTTGGTGGGGTTTGGATTCCGAATAGGTCTCTGTGATCAAGTAAATCACTATCTATTTCTTCTTTTTCCTTTATTGTTTTGGGATAATAGCTCCTGACTTAATTACCCTTTTTGATATATCCCAGTTTGTTTTGGGATATAGTAGCTCCTGACTTGCCCTTTTTTATTATATCCCAGTTTGTTATTGAAAAGGTACCATCGTATGCTGCTTTTGTATTCTAACACAGGCCTTTTGGTACCGAAAATCTTGTAATTTTCGTTTGAATTTGTTGTTGAGAATTACTAACAAGAGAGAATTGACGGCCATATTATAGTAAACTTACTTTTATATGAAAAAGGGAACAAAAATAGAAGTGGAGTTGTCCTGCATAAGCATACATTTAACGTTCATTATTTCTTTTTTCCTGTTACCGAATTAGGATGTTAGAAGGAAAGAAGTTTGCCTAGTTGATCACGACATGGGTA